TGGGAGAAAATTGGAAATTCAGCTCCAGCAGTTTTTTCAACTTTATTGTAATGTGCTCTGCTGGGCTGGGCTCTGGAAAGGTGCACAGTGTTTGGCACAGAGGCTGTGAAGTGTCTGTACTTTGGAACAAAACCTCTTCTGCTCAGCTCTCCTTTCTTCACTCTAGTTCTTGTAGTTATTTAGTCGTTAAGTCACGTCCGACTCTTCGTGACCCCATGGACCAGAGCACGCCAGGCCCTCCTGTCTTCCACTGCCACCTGGAGTTGGGTCAAATTCGTGTTGGTCACTTCGATGACACTGTCCAACCATCTCGTCCTCTGGCGTCCCCTTCTTCTCTTGCCTTCACACTTTCCCAACATCAGGGTCTTTTCCAGGGAGTCTTTTCTTCTCATCAGATGGACAAAGTATTGGAGCCTCTGCTTCAGGATCTGTCCTTCCAGTGAGCACTCAGGGTTGATTTCCTTCAGAATGGATAGGTTTGATCTCCTTGCAGTCCAGGGGACTCTCAAGAGTCTCCTCCAGCACCACAATGCAAAAGCATCAATTCTTTGGCAGTTTATAGTCCAGCTTTCACTTCCATACATCGCTATTGGAAAAACCACTCCCATTTTTTAAAGAACTTGTCATAGTATGTTGTGGTTGACACAGTCAAAGGCTTTTGTGTAGTCAATTTAGTAGAAGTAGATGTTTTTCTGGAATTCTCTGGCTTTCTCCATAATCTAGCACATGTTAGCAATTTGGTCTCTAGTTACTTTGCCCCTTCGAAATCCAGCTTGTACTTCTAGGAGTTCTCGATCAACACACTGCTGAAGCCTGCCTTGTAGGATTTTGAGCATAACCTTGCTAGTGTGTGAAATGAGTGCAATTGTATGGTAGTTGGAGCTTCCTTTGGCATTGCCGTTCTTTGGGATTGGATATAGACTGATCTTTTCCAGTTCTCTGGCCACCGATGAGTTTTCCAGACTTGCTGGCATATTGAGTGTAGCACCTTAACAGCATAATCTTTTAAGATTTTAAATAGTTTGACTGGAATGCCATCTCCTCCACTGGCCTTGTTGCTAGCCATGCTTTCTAAGGCCTACTTGACTTCACTCTCCAGGATGTCTGGCTCAGTGTCAGTAATTACGCTATCTGGGTTGTTCGGGACATCCAGATCTTTCTGGTAAAATTCATCTGTATTCTTGCCACCTCTTCTTGATGTCTTCTGCTTCTATAAGGTCCCTCCCATTTTTGTCTTTTATCATGTCCATCTTTGCACAAAATAATCCTTTAATATATCCAATTTTCTTGAACAGATCTCTGGTTTTTCGCTTTCTATTATTTCCCTCTATTTCTTTGCACTGTTCATTTTAGAAGGCTCTTTTCTCTCTCCTAGCTATTCTTTGGAAGTCTGCATTCCATTTTCTGCAACTTTCCCTGTCTCCCTTACATTTTGTTTCCCTTCTCTTCTCTGTTATTTGTAATAGCACTCTAGCTCTACAGCCACATGGTTTTTTTTCCCCAAGCTAGTACTGCTGGACTAGCCTCTCTGCTTTCTGTTGAGGTTGCAGTGCCATCCTCATGTTTTGAGGAATCCAGTTTTAAAACCACTGCCAAACCCATCCATGCTGTCATAGTCAAAGACTTCAAAAGTGAGCACTGTACTATTCAGAGAGATGGCTTCATGCATGCATTTAGGAGAGACTAGCAACCTACAGGACGTTAAAGTCCTGCATAAGGCTCATTCCGAGTCTGTCAATTGTTGCACTAGTATGCAAGTGAAGCTTATGGGATCATTGCAGTGTCGCACTTAGAACTCTCTGTGGTGGTATTCATCCCTTGCTTTGGCTTAACCAGTTTCTGATTTGGGTTTTAGTTGTCATTTCTTTTTGAACCTGCCTCTCCTAACTGTTTTGGAATTTCACCTTTGTTATGCTGACTTTGTGTCTTGGATCTGGATACCCTAGATCAGTGGGTCTTAACCTTTTTGAAAGAAACGCCCCCTTGAGCCATTGAGGAAGTTATCATCGCCCCCCTCCCTGCGGTGATGATATCTTATTTATTTATTTATTTATTTTATTTTTTTAAGACACTTAAATCCAATGACCCCTGAAAACAAAATTAAATTCCAAGAAAATGAAATGCCCCCCCAAAAAGTAACATTTAATGATTTAGTTGCAAGTGAATTTTAAGATGCAAAAAGAAATCTAAAAAGGGCATAAAAACAAATGCAGGAACTAAAAAATTTCAAGACAAAAAGTCTGAAACTAAATTAAAATTGGAGGAAAATATATATTCATGCACACTGTAAAAAGGCTGCAGCCATCTTCACAGGTTTGGCTTGCTCCAGCGCCATCCTTCCGCCCCCTTCTGCTCCAGCGCCCCCACGCCGCTCCTTTTCATTGTACTGCCCCGCTGAAAAATGAAAACGCCCCCTGGGGGGCATTATCGCCCACGTTAAGAACCACTGCCCTAGATAACCCTTGGCACCTAAACCCAAATGGCTTAAACCTTCTACTACTTGTGACCTCAAATAGTGCAGAGTTTAATTGGAATCAATGCTTACTATCCTGTTTGAAATGTAATAGAAATTGTATTAGTTTTTCCCCACCCTTGAGGGATCACATAACACAGGCCAATATTTCAAGAAGTTTTAAGATTGTGTTCTTAGTATTTCTGTCCCCAGGATGCACACATACTGTTTAATTTATATAAAGATTAAAGATAGAATGAATGACTTTCTGGGCTTGTTGTTTCAATAGGCTGAATCAAAGATTGGCAAACTGGTACCCTGTAGATTTTAGACTACAGTAGCCAGAATTCTTGGCCATGCTGGCTGGGATTTATATGGGTTGAAGACCAGCAAACTCTGAGGATCTACTGCCTGAAGCAGTGAAAAGCATTATCATAAAACATATATATATAAAACAAAAGAGGCACCCCCATATATATATGGGGGTGCCTCTTTTGTTTTCATGTTTTCCATGCAGTAATCCTTTAGTTTTATTCTTAAAAACTACTCTAATAGAAAAAGCCTAAGCAACACAATGAGAAAAAGGCACAGAAGCAGTCAGGTAGGCAGAGATAGGCTGGCAGGCATACCAAAGTAAAGGTTCCAGTTGTGTCTGACTCTAGGGCGCAGTACTTATGCCCGTTTCCAAGCCGCAGAGCCAGTGTTTGTCCATAGACAGTTTCCGTGGTCACATGGCCAACACGACTAGACATGGAATGCCATTACCTTCCCACCATGGTGGTACCTATTTATCTACTTGCATTTTTACATGCTTTCGAACTGCTAGGTTGGCAGGAGCTGGGACAAGCAACGGGCGCTCACTCCGTTGCATGGATTCAATCTTACGACGGCTGGTCTTCTGACCTTGCAGCACAGAGGCTTCTGTGGTTTAACCTGCAGCGCCACCACGTCCCTCATACCAAAGTACCCACTCTTTAAAACAATCAACAGCAACACAACAGCAAGAATTAGAAGAGAAAAATTGACCACAACAAGCACCCACACCGGCACAGTCACAAAGTCCACCTTTGGCCTATAGATCTCCACAAGAGCAAACAAAACAATCCAGCCCCTTTCCCTGTCATCAAAATATGCACTTTCAACAGAGTAAATGTACTGTAAACTAAACAAATAATATTTTTTTTAAAAAATCAAATAGGGAAAGCAACACATGCACACTCATTCACACAGAAAAAATAGAGTTAAGGTAAATGAAAGCTTGACTTCCTAGAGAGGTCCGTATAGAAATAAGGCTCAGCTGACCACTGTTATCGGCTTGTGCTTAGAGGAGGAGCCACAGAGGAGTGATGGATGAATTTCCATGCAGTAGCAAGATGACTTGTTAAGGATATGGTAGAATTGGAAAGAATGGTAGCCTTCCATTATATCTCAGCTGGCTCACTGTGTGATAAGAAGATTTTAAAACTGGTGGTTCTTGTGTGT